GCTACTGTCCAGATCCAGTGGGGTCTGAGAGCTACTGTCCAGATCCAGTGGGGTCTCAGGGCTACTGTCCAGATCCAGTGGGGTCTCTGCCTCTGCCTGGGCATTTACTACATAATCTGCTCATTTAAACTAGACTCTAACATACATAATAAGAATACACTGTAGTTGTCCTTCATGATAAAATGTAACATAAAATGCACAGATTGTTTTGGTTTTAAAGTCTTGTGAAAAAAAAAATAATTGGATAATACATTCACATGAAGTAACTCAAAGCTGGTAGTTTTCCAGCAATATACTGAAGATGGCGCCCTTTTACAAGGAAAACCGATCGTGGGGCTTAAATCGGTCTACAAAAAAACGCAAGAGGGTGGTGTAAGGGCTTAAAACGTACCAGATACAGAGAGGGCAGACAGTTCCCGAGTACTGATGAGTTTCTCTTGCTTGTATTAAAATCAAAATGCTTCGTGCCCTGTAATCTAAATTGCTTTATGTGCAGGTCTGGGACTGCAAAGAATGTAATTACTGCCTTTACCTTATGAGAATATAATGACTTTATGTTTTAATTGCAATTGAAATAAAAAAGATGAATGCATTGTAATAAATGTGAAATCAAAGGTAGAAAAGAAGCATCATACTTTCTTGGATTTTCTTTTTAATCCTTCAGTCCTCATGGTTTTCACGTCTCTGAGAATTTTCAATTGGAAAATACACATGCTTTAGCGTCATATTAGCATTGTCAGGAGTTCTTGCATCAATACTGCTTCACGTGTAGACTGTTTAATCATATTCGGCTTGATGCTGAAGCCTTTCCCTAAATTCTCCCTTCAGCCTGTCTGCATCAGTTCTCAGGTCAGACAAATCTTGGTTGTTTTTATCTTTAAGGGAACTTGAAACTCCCACTTTGAAAACTAAATGAAGGTGATCCACTTGTTTTGTTTAGTTTGTTGCCTAAAATGAGTAATCTTTATAAGAACAGTCAACTCTGCTGATTTTCACTGTTGGCTGAAAGAGCCTCCAAGACTCTTCATGTGTGTTTGTCTCAAGTTCTCCACACCCTGAGAGACCCTTTATTTCAGTGTCCATTGCTATTCAAAGCCATTGAGCCACATTCTCTTGAGTGACTGTCTTCAGCACAATATCTTCCTTTTTTCCAATTTATTTGCCTGACACTTTTACCTGGAGTAACTCAGAGGGATTGCAATTACCTGTTATACTCTACTGTATATGTGTATTGTGTGGTAGAGTGCCTTCCTCAATGTACAACAGCACTGTCCTGTGTGGGGTTTGAAGTCACACCTTTGGTGCTGTAGTTAGCAGTGCAGAGCCCTAACCTCTGTTGCACATGGCCAGTTCAGCAACTCGCTCATTCTAGCCGCACTTTTCCAGGTATTGCGTCACACGACTCCTGTATCACGTCACTGTCTAGTTAGTCAGTCTAGTCTCATCTCTCCCATTAGATTTATTCTTCCTTCTCCTCTCAGGGTTGTTCAAGAACATTTAATGGGATTAGGGTCAAATGATTAGGAAGGGCTGTGCATTTGTTTCAAAGCCGGTGTTTCCTAATTCTGGCTAAAGGAACTTAGGCTTCATTCCTGCACAAAGCCATTATCACCGGGACACACAAACCCCTCTTGCTTGCTCGTCTTCATGAGATGTACTACACGGTGAAACAGGGAAGGTGTTTCCTGTGTTTACTGCGTCTCCTATTCCAATAAACCTCCATTCCTAAGGAAAAAAAAATCCCTCAATTTACCGCCTCCATGTTTCAGTTCAGTCACCACACAGTGTTATAGAAATCCTAGAAATACAGAAATATTGTTCCGGATTTGTGGAGTTCACTCTTGGAGCTGAAAAGCCCGGACATTGCAAACTTTTCTCCGTTGATTTTTATCCCGTTTTTTGGGGGGTTTAACGTGTTCCAGCTCAGTTCTCCCCAGCCCGCACACCTGAGCTGCGCAGTTTGGGGGTGAGATGAGGACAAGTGTGAGAGGGACGGGCGCGAGAGGCGCGCTGAAGACCACAATGACAGAAACACAACGAAGGACGATTTTGTGACACAACGGCCTAGATGATGCTACACGGGGGGCATATTTCTGGGGAAATCCGTGGGCAATAAAGCCTGCCACAGATGAAGCACGGGCACGTTTCTGAGTTTCTGCACCAGTCCTGTCGCAAAATAAATGAAGATGTCCTAAACATCCCCGTACAATATCTCCGTCATCACTATGAACATGCAGAACATCATTCACAAACTTTCATATACAACTCATAACAAAATAGGTCAGACAATGAACTAAAACTAAGAGATATGGGGAATCAGACTTAATGTCGATTTATAGAAAATACGATCTGTGCAGATCTATGTACGGTACAATTGTTGTTGGTGTTGAATAAGCGCAGGTATCCGAGAACAAAGATAGTAATAATTAATCGTCCGGAAAAAACTGATTCGTAATAATTCTCTGTTCAATGACATCGGTGTTGATAGAATAGCTCGGAGAGGGTAGGCTGGCCTAACACCTGCAGTGGGCTGGACTCTATCGCCAGAAAGGCGGGGCTCTTATCCTATCTATGCCCATTTAAACCCCTGGATAACGTGCGCTCTCTTTCAGTCAAATAACGCTTAGGCGATTTTATTTCTATTTCTCGCCCCGCTTTTTTGGTCACCTGGAATTTGCCGCCAGACACAGGATGTCTAACTCTGACAGAGTAGTCCT